ACATTATTAGCCAACAAGGGTAAGAATTGACATTAAAAGCACTAACATCACACAACCTCCACATGAAGCGAGTGAGAAGAACAAAATTGAGGAGATGTAACAAGCACAAAAAGAAAGAATATAATTCTACCCAAAAGAGAGATCCTATAAAGGGAACATATGAAGGAGATGCACAAAAAGTTTGAAATGTAGAAAGAAAAGTCAGTGGTTTCTTTAATGAGATATTCAATTATTCTAACAACAATGGAAGTCAATTTATAAATCTCAAACTCTTTATGAGCATGATGGATATATATATATATATATATATTGCTTTTTCTTGAGTGCACATCACATTTGTGCTATTTCATTTATCTTTATTGATTTTTTTGACTTAAATCATAAATGATTATATATTCTTGGTATGATTTTGATGATGTAGTTATGTAAGTATATTCATGCTTCCATGAGTTATGCTTCCATGAGTTGTTTCATTAAAGGGGAGCTCTTTTGTTTGCTCCTTAAGTGGTTATCAAACTTTTTTGTTGCATTACAACAAAAGGAGAAATAATCTTTTGATCTTTATAATTGCTTGGAATGGGATATCTTCGCTTACTGGGAAGTGTATTTAATTTTGCTCAATTAAAATACATTTCCTTGAAATGGTTTCACATGCTAGCTTGCTTGAATGATATCTTTAGAATGGTTCTACATGCTAGCTTGAGTTAATTTGATATGATATGTTTTTGATGTGCTTATTAAGTTGATTCATGTACTTTCTTTTTGAAGTATAAGTGCATATTTAGGGGGAGTTTGAACTCTCCAAATTTGCTTTTGGTATGCACATGTTTAGAAGGAGTATAAGTTGATTTGAACATGAATATCACTTTTTTGTGTTGTAATTGATAGATTTATGCATTTTAAGTCCTTTTTTATGTTAACAAAAAGGGGAGAGAATTAAATGAATTTCATATTGTACATGGACTATATAAGTTATGATGATATGCACATGGAGATTGATTCTAAGCTCATTGATTTTATATGCTTTTTAATAAATGACAAAAAAGGGGAGAAAGTTTGCTAAATTTATATGTTGGACTATTATTTTTGGATTGTTTATGTGTAGAAATTTCTGGTTACTCTTTGGCCATTTATGTGTTGAAATTTTTATTTGGATTGTGGTATGCTTGCTTGCCTTGGAACTTGATTCTTTTTATGAACTTCGTGTTTGAAAGTTTAAAATACTTTGGTATTTGCTGTTTAACCTTATCAAGCAATATAAGCAAAAACTTAAGGGGATTATATGTACTTTTATCAATTTATTCTCAAAAAGTTTTGTCATCATCAAAAAGGAGATTATTGTACTTATAATTTTGATATTTATAAAACACAATTGAATTACTAATTTATTTATTTAAATGCATAATTTATTACCTAAAGCTAGCAAGAGTGAATGAAGTTGAACTACATTGAAAAAGAATTAACATGTTGCAATTGATGTAGAAAGTTGGCTATGATTTTCTACAACCAACTCTGGAGAAATCGAAAAAACGTGCTGAGATGCATAGAGCCAACTCTACAATTCTGCAGTCAACTCTACTGAAGAAAATTACATAAAACCGACTATGACTTTGCAACCAGTTATGATGGCCTATTAATGTTCAACGGTCAAATTTTTCAAAACTTTTTTTTTTATAATGTTTTCAACTTAGGTTTCCTAAGTCACCTTTGTGTTTTGCAACTAGCTTAACAAAAAATAGGAAGTGCAAACTGAGCAGGATAGTTGGCTCTATTTATGATAGCCGACTGTGGATAGTCAGCTCTAAAGGTATAGTCGACCCTACTAGAAAATCTATAGCATGTTTTCTTGGACTTAAACTGGTTTGTAGGACATCAAATGAACCCCAATGACTAGAAACTACTATTTTGAACAAGGGGTATAAATATAATTGGTAGAAGTCTTGAAACAAATTTTAGACATTTTTCATTGTAAATCTTTCATCTATTAATTTGTGATTCTTATGCTTTAACTTGAAATTTTGATCATTGACTGATCTTTACTTATAATTCTCTATATGTTTTCTATGAGAGTTATCTTGGGGATGTGATTATTTCTTTAAAAGTGATTTATAGTAAAGATTGTTGTGTTTGTCTTGTAAAGAGATGAGATTTGTGAGAAAACCCATCTTCTTGTAAAGGGATTGAGTGACACCTTTAACCCACCCTTATTCTTGTTAATAGAGAGTGTGGAAAAAATCCTTGTTGAGTAAAGCTAAAGTAGAGGACTAAGTGCCAAATGGTTGGATTCAACCTCTATAAAATTTTTGTGCAAGCTTCTCTTCTCTATGCTCTTTGATTTTTACTTTATGGTTGTAGAAGGGTAGAAATTATTGAAACACAAATTCACTCCAGTCTTGGGGTACATTGAACCAACATTTACTAGGCAAGTTTTTATTGTAAAAGTGGTTGATTGAAAAATATTATATGAAAAGTTAATGAATTTTGTAATAAAATTTTACTAAATTTTATTAGATTGTTACTTTTTTAAGAGCATGTATGTTGGAGAAAATTTATAAAGTTTATTTTGGTGCCACATTATTACGTTTAATATTATTTTATATTAACTTACTTTTTCATATATTTAACTCTTAAATAGAAGATGTAACACAATAACCCCTCTTCAATACATAAAACAAAAAAAGAGGTTTTCCAAAAGTTGAATGACCATTATATTATTGAAGAAAAAACAAAAAAGACTAGGAAAATTTTTTTTAAAGAATGGGAACCCTATTTTACAACTTAAACTACATTAATTGTAAAATAGAGATCATTGGATAAAGAGAAGGCCTCCAATATCAAAAGATACACTCTTATTTAGTAGTTAGTATAATACAATCCAATATGACTTTTTTGGTTAAAGAATAATAGTCAAAAAGAGCCAACAACAATCATGTTCTATTTTCCTATGAGTGAGATGAACAGTTGACATGTGTCAACCATGTCTCATCAGTAGGGGCAAATTTTTTTTTTTTTTACCGAGCTTGTCATTGTTTAGAGAGCCAAACTCAGTTACCGCGTCACGTCTAAACTCGGTTGCATAATCCCTAAATTTGCCTCTCAAATAAGAAGATAAGGATAATTCATCTCTCACAAAAAAAAAAAAAAGGGGAATAAATTGGTCCTCTAAATTATTAATCAAAACAAGTCATCCATTATTTAATAGATGACATCATCACACATTAAAAATCCATTAAGCACAAAAAAGTTGATGTATGATAATATCACACATTAAATAATTGATAATTTATTATAATTGATAATTTGGACAAGCAATTTATTCTTACTTTTGTTTTGAAGGGCAAATTTGTCCATGCCCTCTTCTTTGAGGGGCAAATTTGGGGATTTTGTTGTTACTATTTTACATGTTTTTACGTGTTAATAAAAAATTAATATATAAAAAGTTGATAAGAAAATTATTAAATAGATTTAACATAAGGAAAGTTAAAGGGAAACTGTATTCCTCTTAAAGGTGTGCAAAGAAGAGTTTATTATTGGTTGAAAATTGTGTCAAAAAATAAAAACACAATGATATTATATGCATTGGTTGGAAAAAAAAAGTTAAATCTCCATTTTGGTCCCTGAACTATTGTACGGACCCCCGATTTGATCCTTGAACTAAAGAAATCCCTAATTTGGTCCTTAAACTATTGTACAAACCCCCAATTTGGTTCCCACTGTTTATAATTTGGCCTAAGTTGGTCCTTGAACTATTATACGGACCCCCAATTTGGTCCCTTAGCTATTATTTAACAGAAAGACCAAGTTGGGGTTAAATTGGTAAACAGTAGAGACCAAATTGGGCATCCGTACAATATTTTAAGGACTAACTTGGGAGTCCGTACAATAGTTTAGGGACCAACTTAGGGGTCCATACAATAGTTCAAGGACCAAATTAGGGATTTCTTTAGTTTAGGGACCAAATCAGGGGTCCGTACAATAGTTCAAGGACCAAAATAAGAGTTTAACCAAAACAAAATGTGTGAAGAAGAGTTCACTGTAGGTTGGAAATTGTGCAAAAGAAAAGTTTACTATTGATTGGAAAAGTGTGCCATACTGACTTATATATATAAATTTATAATATTATATGCATAAACCTATAATATTACATGTATAAATCTATAATATTATGTCACATCATTAATCCCAAATTTTAATCTTACAATTTTCCCGTCCATATCATTACCCATATCATTACTCTTTAATTATATCTTTAAAACCAATGGTTAATGATATCAAAAAATTAAATGCATAATTATTTATAAGTCCCTAAATTACTTTAATTCCTAACAACAATAGTTGATATGAAATGTGTAAATGCATATTAATTTATATCTTCCTAAAGTATTACTATTAGGGACTTAATTTAAAACAAAAAATTCTAAAAACTAAAATTTTATCTAAACACTTCCTTGGTTAATCTACAGTAAAAAAAACCTTTCTATGAAATAATGTAATGCAGTTTGAATTGCACCAAACTACATTATATTTCTCTCTTAACCAATAATACATATTTTATAATTTGATATAAATTAAACTGTAAAATAAAATTTTCTTTTTTTTATTATTATTTTTAGATAGAATATAACCCTTAACATTCAGTGCACATGCATAACTTTGTAGGTAAATTTCAAACTACAAAAAACATTTTTTATGATTAAAAAAAAATTCAATATTTTCCGTTTGTGTTATGTTCTTTCTTTAGCTAATGGAAACAAACAAGTAATAACAAAAATTCAAGATGAATAAAGGATTAAGAGATTACTTTTGAATTTTTTTATGAAAATTAACTACTTAACATTATAAAGATTATAAGGAGAATCTTTAATCGTGACACCATATTAAAGTTTTAGTATTTATTTTTTGAAGTACATCAAAATTTAGTTACTCAAAATCACTTAAAAGAAAGTAAAAGAGAGAAAATGAGAAATAGAAAACGATTTCTCATTTCTTTCGAAGTTGTCCAAGCACGCCACAGGGTTTTAGCCCTTGTAATCTAAACCCTCAGCAAAATTTCAGCTCCGGTATCTTCATTTGCATCTCAAAATCTCATCGCCTGGAATCAAATGGCATCGCTTTCAGCCGCCAGGTCAATTCTCCGATCGAACTCCGTCCGGAATGCTGCCGCTCGGCTCGCCCAACAGGACAAATCGAAATCTGCTCCCTACGCCTTTCGTCCCTCCTCCACTTCCAAGACTTCTGTCACCAGCCGCACCTTCAGGTAAACTTTCTATCGATCTCGCTTGACAAACATCATTCTTTGGAATACCCATGAAGAAATCCCATAACTTTATCAAGATTTGCAGGTGTCCTGTTGAAGCCAGTTTTTGTTTGGAGTCCATGCTGCCGTACCATACAGTGACTGCTTCTGCTTTGATGACTTCTATGCTCTCAATTTCTCGCAACAGCCCCGCGTGGCTTCCTGAAGGTATTACCACTTTAAATGTTTTAAACTGTTTGCTCCCTTGTTTGATGATTATGGGTTTCAATGCGAATCAATTTGACCAATGTCAAAGCCATTGTCTTTTCTAGATGAACTTTTGCTTCTTTAAGCTCCTTGTTTGCTTGTTTGACCTCATAATGGATTCAGCAGAACGCTGCTATTGTTCTGTTAGCATTCCAAAAGATCGTAGAGGGTAGATAGATGGGATTGGTGCCGGATCTGGGATCTGTTACATATTAGTTGTGTGCACTTGTTCTGTTTCCTTGTGTTTCATCAAGTACTAGTCATTTTCTTGTAGGCCATCTAACAGTGGGTTTTCATTCTTGAAATAGCTATCTAGCATTATAGGACCTCCCTTGACGTTCTTGTCTTTGATTTTCTGGTAAGTTGGTGTCTGCTGGGTGTTGGGTTATTGTTGTCAAACTGAAATTCAGAAGCACTTTCATAGTTGTAGTTAGCTATAAGGAACAATGAGTTTAATCAAGTCAAATTTACAACGTTATCCACCTTATTACCCTTCTTGTCTAATGCTGGGTACTGAGTCAATGTGTCAATCAGTCATTCCATTAATCATTTCAATAAAAGGGTGAATGCCCCTCTTTCTACGTTGTAGGCCAAGACAAGACTAGATGAAGATCAAGAAGCAAGGATGGAATGACTTGGATTTGTTTATGTTGTCAAGCTTTTAAAT